TAATTGACGTACTATATCAATTGTATCGCCGCTTCTCTCATCAAAAAAGGCAAGGCGCTGATACTTTCCATTTCCTAACACGAAATTTTTTATGTATTTCGCAATCGCGCGCGTGCGCGATTTATAGCTATTTCATTAATCGCTATTCGTTATCTAACAAATTTTATTCTTAGCCTTCCGAATGCACGATAAAAAGCAAAGACTGTTTGTCTCTACTGCAAAATTAATGATCAATAATGCAGAATTAATGAACAATAAATAGGGAGAATTAATAAATCGTATTATATATGTCAAAATGCATTTTCTATATTGAAAGCCGTAAAATCACAAATTTTATGAATAATAGTGAAGAGAAGGAGAAAGAAAAAGAGGGAGAGAGAGAGAGAGAGAGAGAGAGAGAGAGAGAGAGAGAATAAAAAGAAGAAAATTTAGTTAAAGATTCATGAGATGAAATTAAAATGAAATCTAAATGACAAGATTTACAATTTAATTCTTAACAAAACGCAAAAAACGTAATTAATAAAAAATTGGCGTGCATTAGTGATAAATACTTTGTAAATTGTTACTTATTTGCGTACAACGACAAAGAGTGCCACTATCAAAATTTAATATTACGTAATATTGTTCCATTACTATTATTCCATTAAAAAATGTAATCACCTCATACGATTACATCTTATATTTACACGTTCGGACACATCGCCAATGTACACGCCATTTAATTCCTCCACCATGTTTTTTTTAAATATATAGGCTGTTTGAAAATATAACAACGTAATTGCTGGACGACTTTTAATAATAGACTCTAAATAAAGATAATAAACTTTTCTGCGTCCATTCATTAATGTTCCATTATCGATTGTAGGACAATTAGTACAAGTTGCAGCAGTACACCTCGAATAACATAGCGTATATCTTCCCCGTTAAGCATTACGACTTATAATTAATGTTCATGAAAATGAATCGCGATGAGTGCTTACATTGTCGTTGTTCTTTGTTGTTGCTAGATGCATAATAAAGGTGGAGAGAAAAATTATACAGAACTAAAATTTACATTTTAACGAAGGAAAATATATAGAATATATGTGCTCATTTCTTTCACCACTCGTTAATCTAAATAATAATAAAAAAGAAAGGATTTTATTTAAGCCTTATCGCTTACTTCGCTTAAGTAACAGTAAAAATAATCTCTATCATTTTTATATTGCTTAAACTCAATTCTGACATGTAGTAGCTTCTTATGACTTTCCAATCCATTCTTTGTATTTTGTTATGCGCCTGTAAAGACGCAGAATTCTTCTCGTGAAAATCTTCACGATACGAATGCTCCATTTTATCATATATTGTAAATACGTTAAAAAATATAATCTTGCACAATCGTGTGCAACGCGAGAGATTGCATTCGCATCTGGAATATACAAAACCAAACATTCATTTTAGTTGCACCAACACCATGAAGTAGGTCACCACGGCTCCCAGTACCTAAAATTTTTAGAAAATTGTTTATTACGCCATTCTATCATAATTTTATCTCTATCATATTTATCTCTATTATATTTATATTCTATTATAATAGATCATGAATGGAATCTTCTTAATTTCGTTATATAAGAATTGAATGAAAAGAGAAAACTCAAGAATATATTGAGATAAAATATCTAGTTTTACCGAAGCAAAGAGATCCAAAGACACCGTGAAGAACTTGGCCCCTGATATTGACATAGCTTTCTGACACTGCTGACATACGATTTGCACGAATGTCTTAGCTTCCTCCGATCCATCATACCAATGACAAGAATAAGCCGCCTCCATCACTGAAGTACTCTAAAAA